TCAATTAATCATGACTGGCCATTTGCACAAAACCTCTTCTCCCAAAGCACTTTGCACAGAGGGGGCGAGCTCTCCCATCCTGCCAGAGCTGTGGGCTCAGTTCCCACCACATGACTGGCCTTGGCAGTAGATTTATACCCAACCCTCTCACTGGAACCCTATAGCAGTCCTGGGAGGCAAGCCAGAAAGGAGCACTGCCCCCCATTTTTAAGATAAGAAAACTTGTTTGTGGGGTGCTTGGCTGGCTCAGTCAGAAGAGCATGTGACTCTTGATCTCGAGGTCATGAGTTGGAGCCCCACACTGGGTATAGAGATTACTAAATAAATAAACATTAAAAAAAAGAGAAAAGAAACTTGTTCATAGGAGGTGAGGTGATGGTCCAAGGATGCAAAGTGAGTCAGGTATTTGTTCTTTTCCACTGTATCACGGACTGTTCTGTCCCCGACCTTTGGGGCTGCTATAATGCTCCATGGTGCCAACACAGACCACAAGCTCTGTGGGAAATGGCCTCAGACAGGGAGGATTGAGACGCTGCCTGCCGCCCCTCAGTCATAATACATCTTGCATGTCAGCTATTCTCTTAGGTATGGAATTATTGGAACAGACCACCCAAGCTGACTCCAACATAAAGGAGGACTCTCACAGAACCCAAATGCACAAAGTCATCCTGGGAACTAGATGGTTGGAACTAGACAAGCACTTTGTCTTTTGTGCTGGACCACAAGTCTTTTCTCTCTGCTTTTCCAATCTGATCCCTTTTCATAAAACCTTAACCATTTTTTAACAAGGCCCAACGTGACTGCCAACCCTGAGTTGGCCTGGCTCACAACTCCAGGGCCCACCACCACAAAAGCAGAGTTAGAGCCTTGGGAGCACTTGGCTGGCTCAGCCCAGGCAATGGTTTGTTCTCTCAGTTTGGTCTTCCAGTCCTGGCTCATCACCTGGAACATGGGCAAAGGGGTTGGGTGAGCTGGTAGTGGGTAGCAGAGGTAGTAGGTAGAGGAAATCCTAGGAAGGATGTAGGTAGGGAGCCAATTACAAGTGGAGGAAACAACAGTGAAAGATGTTGAAATTGAGTGGGCATCCTGAGTAACCAATGCACCTAGGTTCTCTCTGCCTTCTGTTGTCTTTGACTAGACAGCTCTCAACTCTAAAGATGGAAGTTAAGTTGTAGAAGCTTGATAGGAATGCAAGCAATTCCTGATCACAGAAATACAGACTGCCTGGTGGAGCACAACTGACTATTGTCTTGTGGGTATTGACCAGTTTCGCATCCATTTCTAAAATCTCTTCAGCATTCCTTATCTGAATATCTATGGGTGATACTTTGAGTTCTCCTTTGAATTGGCTGTAATATTTTAGTGCTTCTCTCATTAATTGATGGATTAAAATAAATCTTCGACATATTAATTTTATATCTGAGGAGAGGCATGATTGCATCCTCTTTTAAAATGTATCATGGGGCACCTGGGTGGTTCAGAGGTTCTGAGTTTCAGCCCCATGTTAATAGAATTTCAGTGGAAGTTGTCCAGGCAAAGGTTTAAGGGTCATTTATTTCTTTTTCTGTACTTTTCTTTATATTTTTTAAAAAGATTATTTTATTTATTTGAGAGAGAGAGAGAGATTGAGCACAAGTAGGAGGGGCAGAGGGAGAGGGAGAGGGAGAGCTGAGCAGGGAGCCCGGACGCAGGACTCAATCCCAGGACCCCGAGATCATGACCTGAGCCGAAGTCAGACACCTAACCGACTAAGCCACCTAGGCGCCCCTCTGTACTTTTCTTTATATAAAAAAAAATAGCATTTACTGTATAATTATTTGTGAGGCTGTACATATGGTTGTTTGCACTTTTCTGACAATAAAAAACTTTTACAAACCTGTTATATGTTAAATTTTAAAGCAAAAACCAAACTAAATAGGGTAAAACTACATCTTGGCATATTGCTACAAGCCAGCCATGAGTAGGCAGAGGTGGTTATGACATGCTGTCTGCCCACAGGGAAGAGGATGAGGTTCAAGCTCCACCCATAGGCCAAAGGGTTCCAGACAATACCCACAGCCAACTTGTGTCAGGAGCTGCCCAGGTGAGGGAACTTCCTCACTGTTCCACACCTGCCACATCTCCTCCCTCCAGCCCCTTGGCAGCCCAACCTGGCGAACGCTGATGGAAGCTCATGCCAGAATGGGATTTCTTCCTCCTGCCTTTCCTCCCCTAACAGTCTGAGAGGTATCCTGCCCTCCCTAGCTTGCAGCTGAAAGGGAGAATCACTGCCAAGCTTCTGCTTGCACAACAATGCATTTCTGAGAAGGGGACACAAAATTTCTGTCAACTGAATCCTGTTTTCCTCCTGACTTACACGATGGTCCAGATATGCTTTGGCTTCCAATGCCGTGGGTGGCTCACCCATTGTCAATGGTCCCAATACTTCATATTTTTCTCTCTTCATGAAACCAACCTATAAGCTGGGATTGATTTAAGTACAACCTCTTGTAAAAGTAAAACCTTCCTTCTAGGAGGAATACTTCTATCAACCAAACTTGGACATTTGTCTCTGTTGTTTTCTAAGTGTGTATGTACAGTAGGGGAGACAATACCCACAGACAGCGGGACCATCTCTCAGCCCCAGGAGGCTCCCCTGACCTTTGGCATAAGTGTCTGTAATCCCTTGCATTTACCACATCTGCACACAAGTGCCTCCTTAATGATCTGTGGCCTAGAAGGATCAAGGACAAAGGAAGGCATGAGCCCTGTGCCTCCCCTTGCTTGCTGCACACTCAACAGACAAATGCTGGCCTTTCCCACACTTCCCCACTAAGCATGAAGTCGCAGCCACTCCTGAAATCAGGGGCCGATGCTCCAGGTGTTCAGAAACCTTCCCAAGGAGCATACTACTGTTGTAGAGAGGAAGAGTCTTACTCTTACTGCCACTACTTGGGGATGTTCGAGCTCAGACTCCCAATGCTGTCTGACTACATCACTTTCTCCCTTAAGTCCTTCAGTGGCTCCCTATTGCTTGTGTGATCAAGTCCAAGCTCCATGGCCTGGCCTTCAAGTCCCTTGCTTCCCAGTCTGGCCCCAGCTATATCTCTGGCACCATCTCCCTACACTGTGTACCTTACTGTCTAACCCCTCATTCACCCCATGCATGCTAGAGTCCAACTTACATATAAGTCTAACGGTGGTTTCCAAGCTCTCCTAGCTGCTCAAAATGCCTCATTTCAGTGGCAGTCCCTCTCTTATTAATTGATGTCATCAGAATGGCATTACTGCAGACCAAAGCACGCCAGTGCCAGTTCTGATGCAGGGCCTTACTCTGGTGTTCACACCACCTCCATGGCTGCACCTGGGTGAACATCACACAGACCACTTTCCAGAACGGCTCTCTCCACAGGAGCAGCTGCAGATTCCTCCCACCTCCTAAAAGCTCACTGCTGTGGAGCCGAGGCAGTTGCATTAGGACACATCACAGCATCTCACTGCCAAAGTGACAGCTACAATTATGTTTTGGCCGACAGCTGGAGATGAGAGAATGTACAAACAGCCAAAGCCACATGAGCCTTCATGAATCAGCAGTTTGTAATGCGTGTGCAGCTGGTAGGTGAGGTGGGTAACCTGCTGGCTACAGACCTCAGGTTAGTGCCTGGAACCTCAGGTGAGGTCCTCCCCCTGGACGGTGATAGTTAGTGCCCCCAAGGGCCACCCCAGGACCCAGAAGGGCAGGAGTAGGGTGCTCAGGCCCAGGCACGGTCCAACCCCGAGGGACAGGCACCTCATTCCCAGGCAAGGGTGGGGGACAGGCAATGCAAAGGTCCAAACTAGCCAGGGGTGAAGTCCATCTCTCTGAGCAGCCTGATGAGGGGTGTATTCATAATGAGCAGAGGGTCCCTGTCGAGACCCTAGGGCACCACCTCCATAAGGAGCCTCAGTGCCATAGGAGTGGTGTCAGGATAGGGGCCAAGACACCATAACAAAAACCAGCATGGCGGTGGCAGCAGCTTCCACTTGTGGAGCCCTTCCACATGCCGGGCACTGTGCCGACCCCTTTATGTAGGTCTCTTCTTTTCATCTTCCTCACCATCCAGTGAGGTAAGTCCTGTTATTATCCCCATCTTCCCAGTGAGGAAACTGAGTCTCAGAGGAATTTGATGCAGGCCAAGTAGCCGGCAATTATGGAGATGGGATTTCAGCTCAGACTCTGGCTCCAGAACTTGGCTGGTTTATGCCTCATTATCCTGGTTGGGTCCTTTCACTCCAGTCTTGGTTGCAGGAAGCTAAGAGACCCCCCCAGTGCATTCCTGGCATAGGGTGAGTTGAGTTGGGGCCTCCAAGCAGACTTTGGCCTGAAAGCCAAGACGTTACCAAAGGAAAATGAACAACAGCTATTTTAGGTGACAGGTGCTGGGCTGTGGAATTGGGGGAAAAAGTTAAAAAGCTACCAGGATTTCCTCATTGTACATTTTTGCATGTCCAGCAGAATAAGCATCATCAGGAAGCTGCTCCATGACCAGTGTTGCCCCTGGAGACAGAGGGCAGGAGCAGGAACTGTTCTTTCTCTCTGACCCGCACACCCTCTGGGGCCCAGCACCACAGGCGGTCTCCAGGCCCAGGGCTTGGCTCTTACTCAGCCTGACCTGGGTTCCGGCCAAGGCCTCTGGGAGGGGCAGGCTCAGGCTCTTGGGTGTCCTCGGAGGAGTGTTACTGCCCTTCTCAGGCCCCTGGTTGGAGCAGAACCTGCCTACCCTCACTTTCTGTCCAAATGCATGCCGACAGGGAGGCCGTAGGCTGGCAACTCTGTTCAACAAGCTTCCTAAGGGGGCGTCTGAAAGGCGGGCGGGGCTAGGGCACAGGAATGTTTGTATTTCAAGCAGCTGCTGCCCATGAATCGCCAATTGCATTTTGTGCTCTCAGCTCTGTGAAGGCATCATTCCCAGCAGCCTCACACACCGAGCTGGCGGCCAGAGCCTCTTAGTGCAGCTATAAATAGCAGATCATCAACTCACCTCTTCTGAGCTCAGCACAGGCTCCTCGGTTCACTGTGCGTCTTCCTGCTGCCTGCATGTCAATGTCACTCAGATTTCCCAGGTATGCTCTGGGGGGCTGCATGGTTTGGGCTCCCAGAGCTGTTCAGGGTGGCAGGGAGGGCAATGGCAGACTTTTGAAGAGCTTGACATTTCAGGAGTCATAATTATTCTCGACCGTCTCTGAGCACGTCTCCAATTAAATGCAGCACCAAGGGACTGTCATTTCTTGAGGAGTCCTAGAGATAAAAGGCAAAGGACTCACCAAAAACACACCCAGAGAATGCCACCCGCAGTAGGTAGCACCAAACGAAAGGTTTCATGCCCTCCTGCAGACTTGTCCCCTGACACTGAATGAAATACTTGATAGCTCTCCAGCTGCAGGAGTGAGAGACACTGAATGAAAGACTTTACGACTCCCTGGCTGGAGAAGTGAGCTCACATGTTGTAGTATTACTCCCAGCCTCCGTTTACAGCGTGCTCCCTGTGTGCCAGCCTCTGAGCCCAGCTTTCGCAGGCAGCGGACCAAATCAGCCCAACAGCCAGACGGCTAGCATCACTGGCTTTCTGCAGGCGAGCAGGCTGTGGCTCCCGCAGCCAAGCGAACAGGGCTGCTGGCTTCCAGGGCTGATCTCTGAACCGCCACACTTTCTGATTCCGGCAGAAGAGGACCGTTGGGGTGTCCACATGTATCCATGCATGTGCCCACACACTCAGGTGACCGGTGGGATGTGAACTGTAGTCTCCTTTCTCCAACTCCACGCACTCCATGACCAGACACTCAAGTCCCAGGCTCCTCTGGCACTTGCATGTCCACTGGCACCACCTTCTTCCAAATCTGATCTTCTTCTAGCTCTCCTCTAGGGAAGGCACCTCCCTTGGCTCTCCAAGCCCAGTTTGATGGTCTTCCTCATCCCTCCCTCCCCTGAGGCCCTGAAACAGGCAGGGGTCAGGGGGGACCCTCTCTTCCTCCCCCTTCCCCTACCCCTCCTTCCAATCTGTTTCCTCCTCTGCCTCCCCACTTTGAGGCCTAGTCCCCTTTATTGGTTTGTCACAATAGCTCAGTGCTACACGCGGGAAATGGTTTTTTTTGTTTTTGTTTTAAAGATTTTGTTTATTTTTCAACAGAGAGAGAGAGAGAGACAGCGAGAGAGGGAACACAAGCAGGGGGAGTGGGAGACGGAGAAGCAGGCTTCCCGCTGAGCAGGAAGCCCGATGGGGGACTCGATCCCAGGACCCTGGGATCATGACCTGAGCTGAAGGCAGACGCTTAACGACTGAGCCACCCAGGCGCCCACGCAGGGAATGTTTTAAGAACACAGATTCTTCATTCCCTCCCTCCCTGGGTTCAGACCCCCTGAAACCAAATCTCTCAGGGTACAGGCCAGGATCTGGATTTTTGTAAAAAGCTCTTCCAGTGATCTGTGCAGGCAGGGTTAAGAACCACTTTGTCTAACTGGCCACCTAGATTCCAGCCTCTTCCCTATTCTGAACCCTCCCAACGTCAGCTCTCAGTTTAATTTTCTTTTTTTTTTTTAAAGATTTTATTTATTTGACAGAGAGAGACACAGTGAGAGAGGGAACACAAGCAGGGGGAGTGGGAGAGGGAGAAACAGGCTTCCCGCTGAGCAGGGAGCCCGATGTGGGGCTTGATCCCAGGACCCTGGGATCATGACCTGAGCCGATGAAGGCAGACGCTTAACGACTGAGCCACCCAGGTGCCCCTAATTTTCTTAAAGCATAGTTTATCTCATGTCACTCTCTTGCTAAAGATCCTTGAGTAGCTTGCCCTGCCTGCAGGAAAGCACAAAGTCCTTAGTGTGACGTTCAAGGCCCTCTCTATCCTGGTCCATTCATTCTCCTGGTAACCCCATGCTCCAGCTACAGAGCTACCTCTCCCTGGGATGGCCTCCTCCTGGCCCTGCTCTCTCTTTTGCTTATCTGGACTTTAAGTGTCAGCTGGCCACAGCAGAACACACTGAAACAAAAGTGATCCCTTCCTTAAGACTTTGAGCCCTCCAATAAAAGGGATGAGGAATTATTGCTAAAATGCCCCTCTTAATTCAAGAGCCACGTGTGCAGCTTTAACTGAAGAGAATTTTGTGTGGCCTGCAGATGAAAGGAGATCCGCCAGCAGAGACAACACAATAGCAGTAATGTGTAAACACAGGAGAGCAGGAGTGGTGGGGCTCGTGATTAATTCCAAGGAGATGGTATTTCAGCATTCTCCTTGCTTTTAACTCAACCCGGGAGACAGAGCAGGTCTGGTAAGCACTGGGGCCAGGGCCATGTTTCAAAATGCCACTCATGTTTTTTTGTCCCCCAGTCCTAGACAAAAGCAGAGGGCCACATTTGGATCTTGTTCAAAAGGTCAAGAGTGTTTTATTAATACAATTAAACAGTGTATGAGTTTGGACTTTGAAATCCTTTTCCCATAAAGAAACACCTACCACCAAATAAAATACAAAGTGATTGTGTTGACTGAAAGCGGGCATTATTTCAGAACGGGGTCTGGAAATTGTTCCCCTCAAGGGCTTCAGAGTAAAAATGAACCCGAAAGAACTTCTGGGTAAATGTGGCAGAAGAGCCTCTCATGAATCTCCATCTGCTCCCTCCCAAAACTCTACTAAAAACAACTATAAAGGAGTAAAAAGAGTTAGAAATCCACAAGGTCTATGAGAACAGGAGAGGAGATGGCAGCAGACAAAGGATGGAGCACATTTCTGGAAGGTGGGAAGCAGAGGAAGGAGTGGTGAGTCACACGGCAGCATGGGGGAAGCTGAAGGCCTGATTCCTGCACAGGGGCTCTGGGGGACAGCCAGGGCAGAGCTGCAGGTGGGAGGGCTGGTGGAGGCCATGGGAAAGCCCAGTCCCAGGGGGGCAGTGGGGTCCCACACCTTGCCCACTCCTGTAGGTCACCTGAAGTGCTCACTGGGGAGGGTGGGCATAAAGTGCAGAAAATATAGAGAACAGACAGAAATCTACATGCTGAAAGGTAAAATTCCAGCCCCTTTTCCTAACCCAGCTTTCAGAAAACCTGCGGGTTCAGGCACAATCCTTACCCCCAGGATGGAGACTACACAACACTTTTCTATAGAAGCTGAGCAAACTCAAAGGAAAGACCCACAGATACAGACATGATATGGATACAGACCCTCAATGGAAGAGCAAGCTCATGACCAACTCCCCTCTACAGGGAAGTCCACTGTTTGACAAGTTCCACCCAAGCATGCTGACCAGTGAATCATTGTTTCAAAGCATAATTCTTAGATATTATCAGACAGCCATGATCCCCAGACATTTAAGGAAAGCATCAGACATGAGAAACAGGTATGTGGGGAGGGGAAGGAGAGGAAGAATGTCTAGGTTCAAGGAGAAGAAAGCTTTAAAAATGCTATACAATCCTCAGGGAGAGAAAATAAGATTTCTATTTCAAGATTCATTATCCACGAAATGTCAGAACACCAGGGATAAAGAAAAGAACCTAGGGCGCCTGGGTGGCTCAGTCGTTGGGCATCTGCCTTCGGCTCAGGTCATGGTCTCAGGGTCCTGGGATCGAGCCCCATATCGGGCTCCCTGCTCAGAGGGAAGGCTGCTTTTCCCTCTCCCACTCCCCCCTGCTTGTGTTCCCTCTCTCACTGTGTCTCTCTCTGTCAAATAAATAAAATCTTTAAAAAAGAAAGAAAAGACCCTAAAAGGACCCAGAGAGGAAAAACAGGTCCATTGAGAGGATCAGGGATCAGAATGGCACCAGACTTCTCAACAGCAACACTGGAAGCTGGGAGATAATGGAGTGAGGCCTTTAGAACTCTAAGAGAATTATTTATAGCTTAGAAATCTAAATCCAAACCATTAGTTAAGAGAAATGGTAGAATAAGAGATGTTTTCAGACACAAAGGATCACAAATAATGGGCCTCTCACGCTCCCTTTCTCAGGAACCTCTCCACCCAAACAAAAGAATAATTCAAGGATGAGGGGTGCCTGGGTGGTTCAGTCAGTTGAGCATCCAACTCTTGGTTTGGGCTCAGGTCATGATGTCAGGGTCCTGGGGTCAAGCCCCGCTTCAGGATCTGTGCTCAGCAGGGAGTCTGCTTATCTTTCTCCCTCTGCTCCTCCCTCCTCTTTCTCTAAAAAAAAAAAAAGTCTTAAAAAAAAAGAAGAATCTAAAAATGAGGATGACATGTCCAGGAGAGAGCAAAGGGGTGCCCAGGATGATGCTGAAGGAGAGCCTTGATGACAGTGGGGTGGAAGGCCCAGGGGCAAGAGCTCCCCTCTGAGCCAGAAGATAGAGAACTTCAGGTGAGAAATGGTCAGATTACCTGACAGGTATGCCCAGGTAGAAAATTATGTCGAGGGGCTATTAGACAGTTGTAAGAATTAGTAATAAGTCCATTAAAAAACTGAGTTAATGAAAAACATGAAGCAATTACTACCTACAAAAAAAAAAAAAAAAAAAGCCCATGACAGATAAACTGTAAATAAATGCAACACCATGAAAATTTACATAGCCAAAGTAACATAAACACACATTATTGATTTAGCCAAAGATTGTAATAAACAGTGTTGGGAAGCTGGAGGAAAGAGAAGGAGGATGCAGGTGTCAATGGATAAAAGTAAATCCTCAGGCGCCTGGGTGGCTCAGTTGGTTAAGCGACTGCCTTCAGCTCAGGTCATGATCCCAGGGTCCTGGGATGGAGCCCGCATCGGGCTCTCCGCTCAGCGGGAAGCCCGCTTCTCCCTCTCCCACTTGTGTTCCCTCTCTCACTGTCTCTCTCTCTCTCTGTGTCTGTCAATTAAATAAAGAAAGAAAATCTTAAAAAAAAAAAATCAATAAAAAATAAAAGTAAATCCTCATCTCCCATAATTGCAGGAAAACAGATGTCTAAAATTGACAAATCAACAAAATAGCACTATAGGTGTATTATCTAGAGAAATGGAGGAGGTTAAAACTGGGAGAAACAGCTGAAATAGTTTATTTAACTGGGTACCTTTGGGTTATCAGGCTGGGGTTGGGTTGAGTGGGACAGGGGACTGCTATTTTTCACCCTATGCCTTGAGTACTATTTGAATTTTTGCATGTATACATTATTGTCATAAAAATAAAAAACAATTTTTAAAAGAAAAATCTAAAGAAAATATTATAAATTGACAAAAACGTGTTAGATATTCATTAATTACATCTGTGATTTCTTTCTGTCTTGTTGATCATTCTCTTCATCCATGCACTCATTCATTTTT